CACTGTGATAACTATTCCACAGGTTAACTCCTCTAACAGAAGCACATCTCTGCTTTATGTTCGTCCTTATCTTGTTTTTTTTAAGAAATCTGTTCCCCTTAAGTCATATTGACTCTCTCTGACTTTAAGCAGCTTCTGGGTACTGTGGCAAAGCAAGTTGTTTTGTGCTTTATCTGTGCCATTTTATATTCAACTAAATTATAAAATTTCAGGGTATTCAGATTAATAAACAAAATGTTAGTTAGTTCTATATAGTTCGATTGATTTATAATTCTTATAGCTCTTTTTTGTAACTCGGAAATAGGAAGAGTATTTGTTTATATGCATTACCCCATGTCTCAAGACAATAAGTCATATGGAAGCAACAGAGAACAATAAAGTGTGTATAATGATTTCTTGTTCAGGACATGCTTTGTTTTGTAGAGAATAGCAATGGTTTTTGAAATGTTTGCTTTCACGTGGTTTATATGAGACTTCCAGCTAAGCTTATCATCAGTTATCACTCCAAGAAATTTATTTTTGTACACTCTTTCAGTTTCAATTCCATTAACCCTGATTTTAGATACATTTTTCATTTGTCAGCTCTTCAGGGTAAAAGATCTCACCTGATCCATTTGTTTCTCTCTCTTCACTTCTCCCAAATCGAGCTTATAGCTAAAGCAGACAGCCAATGTAAAATACAAATCACATTGTTAATGTCAATATTAGTTAGATTTTTTATAAGCTCTTCATAGGTAAGAATCCACTGATGCCAGGAACTTTGAGAAGGGCTTTTCTTAGAATTTTACTGAGGCATAACTGACACGAGGACTGCAGCCTGCATGATGAGATAAGGAAAAGCCAAGAAAAACATCATCATAACTCAAAACTGTACGACATACCTTCCAAGGAAATCATCTTTATCTACATCTTCATCATACAGCTCCACTTCTAGCTCTTGGCCAGGAGCCTCGTGGACAACAAACTGCACAGATAAAAAAAGCGAGGAAGTTTTTAAAAGCACTAAGACGACAAGGTTACATGCAGAAAATGGAATATTAGATACTGATGCTGTACAACAATACAATGAAACAAGTAAAACCGAAGATGAGTGACACACCCAGCATTACAGGGTATGAAATACAGTCATGTGTTTGAATTTTGTGTGGGGGAGTTCGTGTTAGCCTACCTCATACACTTCATTCCATCTTGGATGTAGATTCTTTTTCACAGTCTTGCTTTTGAAGTGTATGTTGCCCACTCTGAGTGTGGCATAGGGGTCTGATTTGCCTTTCACTAAACCCATCACGTATGTGTCCATAGCCAGCAGGTCCCTGGCTTCCAGCAAGTGGACCCTCACCACCCCCTATGAGGAAAAAACACGAGATTCATATGAATGATAGTGTCTTTGTATAGGTAACAAGTAAAGGTAAAAATAGGTTTAAAGAGCAAATAGTTAACATATTTTTTTAATCTTAAAATTCACTGTGCTTATAAAAAAAATCCAAGTAGCTGCTGGTTATAAGGCGAAGCTAAATGTGTGAATTGGAAATGTGATGGTACTTACACGAGGAAGTGGAAACCTCATTTGGTCCATTTTGACCTGGTCTATGAGGGGAATACACATGCGGTTGGGCAACACTATAAAAGAAGCAATGATGTTCATGATGGTCTCCTCTGACAGTGAACTGTAAAGTGAAAGATGGAGTGAGACAAGCAAACATCAAAAATTCTGGATGAATCGGTAATAATAGGATTCTTTTTTTAAAGATTCTCTGACCTAAAGGCGGGGCTGCTCAAAAGGTTTGTCATGCCAGTCCAGTTTATTTTTAATGTCTGAAAAAAAGAGCGCTTTCGATAATATTAAACACACAACTACACTTCTCACAACTCCACACTGAGAAAATCTGTGGCCACTTACAGGGCGGCGAATGAAGAAAAAAGTGACTCCTCCCACCAGCGGTGTTTGACCAATAAGAGGCTCTAAAATAACTCTCATCATCCCCTGGAGCTGGAAGATTCAGTGAAAGTTTTACAAGAATAGTAAACATATGATACAGATGATGGAGAGAAAACAGGAAAATGAGATGCTCACTTTAACGCCTTTCACACCAGCTGTCATTGCTGAGTTCATGTCAGCACGAATGTCCACATCACCGTCATAACTGCAGAGTAAACTGAGCTGGTCAGACATAAATGATGGCAAGAGAAAACATCCTGCACACGACTTAGAATTTAAAGTAAAAAAAAAAATGTATTTGACCGACCTTATGTTCATGTCCAGAATCACTTCCCTATGTTCCACTTCATGTGTGTATGCTCTTATTCCAGTGATCTTGAGAGGCTGAAAATAAAGAAGCATTTAAAGAAAACCATTCAGCCACAACACATCACCTCCAACGCATTTCCAATGAATAAATGTCACTGGATATTAGGGTGGATTTCCAGGAGAACAAATACAAACTCGATTTAAAATGTAAATAAAAGCAAAATGCAAAATTTGCAAATCCCACAGACCTATAATTTATTCACAGTAGAACTGAGAAAATGGACCATTTTAAGAAAAAAAATACTCATAGTTCATTTTGAACTCCATGTCTTAAAAAGGTTTGGAGCATCTTAGAAAGAGAGAGTTTCTAAGAAGTAATGATGGACTGCAAAAACATGGATTGCCTGCAGTAGAAGAACTTTCACCAACTAAAAACATCAGAAGCAGAAAGAAGAGTGGTAAACGTGACTGCATCCCAACTTTTCTGAGACGTGTTGCTGCTATCACATTCAAAATGAGCTAACATTTTTCTTTAAATTATGTATTTTCTCACTTGAAATATTTGACATATTTTGTGTTCTGTTGTGAATGAAATACAGATTTATGAGATTTGCATTGCGTTCTGTTTTTATTTCCATTACAGTCACCCTATAATGTGTAGGGAGATGAAGACCCGAGTGCAGACTGAACACGAGTCATTGATTAGATCGTTGACAGATTTCAGAAAAGAAGCAAAGAATAAGGTACCACAGTATAACTGAAAAGTTGCTGAAAAACAACAAACTTGGAAACATACTAGGGCTATGGAACACTGAGAAAGGTGAACAGAAGTGCTGACAAGGGGAGACAGAAACTCTATATATATATATATATATACATATATATATATATATATATATATATATATATATATATCCAGCAGCTGGATAGCGTAGTGGTTAGACTACACGCCTTTGGAACAGAGGATCGCAAGTTCGATTCCTGCCTGGGGCGTCTGTATCCAGTAAGGGTCCTAAGGCTAGACCCCCTATGCTAAGCAAGCCTACCGCAGACATGAGCGAGACAGATAAATATGAAGGCATGCCGGCTCGGACGTCGCCCGGATCAACAAGGTCCGCGTCAGGTGTTGAGGAACCAGGGCACCCTGACGAAAAGTGGGCTACTGGAACAAGAAGGCATCGGTGGGCAAGAGACGAAAACAGGGCGTTGTTGGAATGCTACTATGCAAGTAACCCCGGCGGAAGGGGCTACATGAATAGGATGAGGGACCTATGGATTCTTCGACACCCAACATCCACAATGACGGCGAAACAACTAGTAGCTCAGTGTTCCAACATTCGAAAGAAGGGACTGCTCTCACAGCTAGAGATTGACGAGGTACAACACAAATGCTACGGCAAGGAGGAGTCAGGACGCCAGGTCAGGGGGAGATATCATCACCCCCACCCGAGATTGGGTACATAGCCCCAAGTGCGATAGGAGAAGGATCGTTGAGTGCGAGAGGAACTGACCTGAAAAATAGGATCATGGCCAAGCTTGAAACCTGGATCCCGCGTAGCCGGTTACCAAGATTACGTGAAGTTCCCTCAGAAGGTCTGCTAGATGATGTTAATGCAGCACTACGGGCAATACCTACAACCACGATTACCGACACTAACAAGCTGATCTACAATACGGCAACAGTGATCAGTGAGATGCTTGGCTACAAGTTGAACAGCGACAAGGGGCAGTACCCCCCATGGAAAAGGAGGCTAGAGGGCAAGATCAAAGTAGCACGGAGGGAGGTTAGCCAACTAACGGAGTTGCAGAAAGGTAAGACAAATAAGGTGCCTAAGAAATACAGCAAGCTGTCCATACCTGAGGCCTTGGAAACTGCCAAGCAAAGACTCACAGCCTTGGCCAGCCGCTTGAGGAGGTACACCAGAGAGATAGAAGGCAGGAGAATAAACCAGCTGTTCTCCACAGAACCAGCAAAGGTGTACTCTCAGTGGCAAGGGAACAATAAGAGAACAGCACCACCAAGGCTGGAGACGGAGCAATACTGGAAGAGCATATGGGAGAAGGATGCAACCCATAACGGCAATGCTCAGTGGCTAGAGGATCTGAGGGCTGACCACAGCGACCTCCCTGAACAGGGTCCAGTAACCATCACAGTGGCAGATATCCAAGAAAGGGTCTCCAGTATGAAGAGTTGGACAGCACCAGGGCCCGACATGGTTCACGCCTACTGGCTGAAGAAGCTGACTGCACTCCACGAGCGTCTGGCAGCACAAATGAACCAGCTGCTAGTTAACGAGAGACACCCGGAATGGCTAACTGAAGGCCAGACGGTCCTGATCCCCAAGGACCCCAAGAAGGGACCGGTCCCCTCCAACTACCGACCAATAACCTGCCTCAGTACTACATGGAAGCTCCTGTCAGGCATCATATCGGCTAAGATGAACAGGCACATGGGTCAATACATGAGCGGGACACAGAAAGGAATTGGCAAGAATACCAGAGGCGCAAAACACCAGCTACTGGTAGACAGAACAATCAGCCGAGACTGCAAGACCAGACTGACCAACCTGTGCACTGCCTGGATTGATTACAAGAAGGCCTATGACTCAATGCCCCACAGCTGGATACTGGAATGCCTAGAATTGTACAAGATCAATGGGACCCTAAGAGCCTTCATCAGGAACTCAATGGGGATGTGGCGTACAACACTAGAGGCCAACTCCAAGCCCATAGCACAAGTCACCATCAAGTGCGGGATCTACCAAGGAGATGCTCTGTCCCCACTGCTGTTCTGCATAGGCCTGAACCCCCTCAGTGAGATCATTAACAAGACTGGCTACGGATACCGACTACAGAACGGAGCAGTTGTCAGCCACCTCCTGTACATGGATGACATCAAGCTGTATGCCAAGAGTGAACGAGACATCGATTCACTGATCCACACTACCAGGCTATACAGCAATGACATTGGAATGTCGTTCGGACTGGAGAAGTGTAGTCGGATGGTAACAAAGAGAGGGAAGGTAGTCAGAACTGAGGGGATTGAACTACCAGAAGGCAACATTGCAGACATAGAGGACAGTTACAAGTACCTGGGGATCCCACAGGCGAATGGGATCCATGAAGAGGCCGCTAGAAAAGCTGCAACCACCAAGTACCTGCAGAGGGTCAGGCAAGTCCTGAGGAGTCAGCTGAATGGTAAGAACAAGATCCGGGCCATCAACACGTACGCCCTGCCCGTGATCAGGTACCCTGCTGGGGTAATAGGCTGGCCAAAGGAGGAGATAGAAGCCACTGACATAAAGACAAGAAAGCTCCTTACCATGCATGGAGGGTTTCACCCCAAATCCAGCACCCTGAGGCTGTACGCTAAGCGGAAGGAAGGGGGCCGGGGACTGGTGAGTGTCAGCACCACAGTCCAGGATGAGACAACGAACATCCAAGAATACATTAGGAAGATGGCCCCAACTGACCGAGTGCTCAGTGAATACCTCAGGCAGCAGAAACCCAAGAAAGAGGAGGGAGACGAGGAACCATCATGGAAGGACAGGCCCCTGCACGGTATGTACCACCGGCAGATAGAGGAGGTGGCTGATATCCAGAAATCCTACCAGTGGCTGGACAAAGCTGGACTGAAAGACAGCACAGAGGCACTAATCATGGCAGCACAAGAACAAGCTCTGAGCACAAGATCCATAGAGGCTGGGGTCTATCACACCAGGCAAGACCCCAGGTGCAGGCTGTGTAAAGATGCCCCAGAGACAATCCAGCACATAACAGCAGGGTGCAAGATGCTAGCAGGCAAGGCATACATGGAACGCCATAACCAAGTGGCCGGCATAGTGTACAGGAACATCTGTGCCGAGTATAACCTGGAAGTCCCGAGGTCAAAATGGGAGATGCCCCCAAGGGTGGTGGAGAATGACCGAGCTAAGATCCTGTGGGACTTCCAGATACAGACGGACAAAATGGTGGTGGCTAACCAACCGGACATAGTGGTGGTAGACAAACAGAAGAAGATGGCCGTAGTGATCGATGTAGCGGTTCCGAATGACAGCAATATCAGGAAGAAGGAACACGAGAAGCTGGAGAAATACCAAGGGCTCAGAGAAGAGCTCGAGAGGATGTGGAGGGTGAAGGTAACGGTGGTCCCCGTGGTAATCGGAGCACTAGGTGCGGTGACTCCCAAGCTAGGCGAGTGGCTCCAGCAGATCCCAGGAACAACATCGGAGATCTCTGTCCAGAAGAGCGCAGTCCTGGGAACAGCTAAGATACTGCGCAGGACCCTCAAGCTCCCAGGCCTCTGGTAGAGGACCCGAGCTTGAAGGATAAACCGCCCGCAGGGGCGTGCTGGGTGTTTTTTTTTATATATATATATATATATACACACATATATATATATATATATATATATATATATATATACACACATATATATATATATATATATATATATATATATACACACATATATATATATATATATATATATATATATATACACACATATATATATATATATATATATATATATATATATATATATATATATACATACACACACAGTGGAACGAAGCGTGCTACAAGCAACCAACTCCCAAAATGAAGCAGGAAAAGCAAACCTTAACAGGGAAAACACACAAATGAAAATGAAGGAGACTCAACGCAACAGGAAGTGACATTGAGGGAAAAACTAAACTCTAAAGCAACTGAGAACTAGGAACAAAAGAAAACACACAGAACACAGAATGAATGAAGTAAATGTAAACACTAAATAAGCCAGGAATTAAATAAATAATTAAACTAAACAAAACTTCAAAGTGCAAAAAGCTCAAAATGCTGGGTAGCAGCCACAGGACCATGACAGACCCAGTTCGTTTTCAGAACTGCACAAATCAAAGACACTCACAATGCGCCCAAAGTGGATTTTGGTAAAAGTAAAAGTTTTCAGTGAAGGACTGGAGAACCTGATGGACTGCTGGATGTTTTCTCTAAGTAGCTTCTCCATGTACGTCCCAAAAAAAGGCCACGCCTGCTTCAACACCTGACAACACATGACCAAAAAAACATGTGAACACTTGATTCAGAATAGCAAACTGAAATGTACTCACAACGTTAACTGAGATTAACACTAAAAGGCTTAATGTATCAAATGCTTTGTTTAGCTTTCTAAAATTACAATTTAGTTGTAAAATAATTTTGTTAGTAATTATTTAATATAGTTTGCACTTCCTGCAGTCTCCGTGTTGCTTTCAGCTAATCTATCTCTGACTTTGACCTTCTGTCCTCATGCTTTGCATCAAGGTGTAGGTTTTGTGTACTCTAGATCAGCAGGGCCTTAACCAGTTCGTGTTATAGAGGAATAACCGAATATCTTCTGGATTGTGTTTATTTTCAGCAGAATAGAAATCACAGTAATAGCTACAAAAGGTATATAAAGGCATAAAAGTTATCTGGCAGCACGGTGGCAGGGTGGATACCACTGTTGCCGCACAGCAAGAAGGTCCTGAGTTCAGTTCCTCCATCAGGCTGGGGTCATTCTGTGTGGAGTTGGCATGTTCTCCCCATGTTTGCGTGGGTTCCCTCCGGGTACTCTGGCTTCTTCCCATCGTCCAAAGACATGCAGTTTGTGGGGATAGCTTAATTGATTAATCTATATTGCCCATAGGTGTGAATGCAAATGGTTGTCTCTCTCTGTGTGTTAGTCCTGCGACAGACTGACGACCTGTCCAGGGGCGTATCGCGCCTCCCGCCCTATGACAGCTGGGATAGGCTCCAGTGCTGCCTGCAACCCTGAAAAGGATAAGCGGAAGCGAATGGCTGGACTATAAAAGGTATTATTAATGTCCTGTTGTGTGTATTGCCCAGCTGAATGTCTGACTGTGAGTGACTTTCCTTTGTTACGCTGGAGTTGATTTGCTAGGAATTTGCTTGATTTATTATTTTCTTTGAAATTGTTATTTCTAGGTTGTGTTCTTACATAAAATATTCTGTAATTCTCCCCATGGTTGTTGGCTTGGGTTTGTTATGTGTCTGTCTGTTAGTTTTTTTTACTTTTCCTTCAATAGCACATTCCAATTTTTGTCCTGTTTTTTCTTCTATAAGGAGCTTGCTTTTTCTGTTTAACAAAGTAAAAAAGGAGTTGTACAAAGAAAATCATTTGTTTCTATGAACTCTTTCTTTTTGTGTCAATTATGTCCATGAATAGGGACCTGGGTACAATTAAAATCTATAACATTTCCTGTATGAGGAGAACTTTTGTTTTGTTTCTGCCTGAAAACAAATACCACATACATTCCAAAAAACAAGTTGCTGCTTGTCTGTGTCACTGCATTCAGAATGCTGTGTTGGGTTGAGCACAGGTAGCTGACTTGGCCATTGAAGAATATCCATTATTGCCCTGCGAAACTCTTACACTATACTTTGGGTAATTGTCCATTTGATTTTTTGCTCTGTGAATGATAGATCTACCTCTTTAAGAGTGTTCTTGGCCTGGTTAGATGCAGTGAAGTTTTTCTTAACCATGGAAACAATTGTGTTATAATGCACTTTAGTTGTCTTCTGTGGTCTTTCTTTGCTTTTGGTGTTGCTGAGCTGGCTAGGGCATTGAATCTTTGTAAGAATATACCAGATTGTTAATTTGGCTGCAGGTTTTTGCTCTTTCTGTCTCTCTCTTTCTCTGAAAGGTTTTTGTTTTGTTTTGTTTTAGTCTCATAAAGTCCTTATTCACATGCATCAGCATGTTTTAGGAACTCCCATAAGTTCATTAGGTGATCATAAACTCTGATCAGTAATCTGGTAGGAATGATTCCTGGGAATTGTGGATGGAAGGACAGATGACAGACACCTCATCACTGCACAAACTCATCTGCAAGGTGAGCTGAAAATACTATACTTTAAAGTAAAGCTGGAAGTCAGCACTTCTATCATATATTGACTGTTTGATTTCAAATCCACTGTTGCGAAATACAGACGAAAAATTATTTTTTAAAAAAGAAGAGAAGAGAAACCTTTATTAGTCCCATACGTAGGAAATTTGTTGTGTCACAGCAGAAAGTGGAGAGTGCAAGTTACAGTAGTAAAACTTATCATTGTCCAAGATTTAATGGACCTAAGTGTAGCTGATTCAATATTTACAGACTAACTGATGTATTGGATACCAGATTTTATGATATTTGATGTGGGCTTATTTGGACATACTTTCAGTGCCAATTAAATCACCAATTAACTGAACATGCATGGAACAGGGTGAGCATGTAAACGCCACATAGAACGACAAAAGGTTCAAACCAGGAGTCATGGTGCTACCACTTCACACCCCCCAAATATGGGACAAGTAAGGTAGTTCTGACTCTCATTACATGCAGCACAGTACATTTTAAAAATAAGTGGTGCCAAGTTCTGGTTAGGTCTAACTAAACTGTTGAATAAACTAATCAACAATGACTCCATTTTTTTTCTTTTTGACTGATTTTTAACATGCCATAATTTTGCATTTATATGAAACTAACAGATTTTTCTTTAAATCTGTTAAAAATCATTATTTGGTGCATGTTGTTAGGTTCCATATGACATAAGCAGCAGATCCACTGTTGGAATGGCTGCAGTGTGCCTACATGTTCTCTCTCCCACATTTTCCATCTTTCTTCCAATGTTTGTGTCAAAATAAAGATGACAATTGTCATAAATTAGCCTAAAAATGCATCAAAAGAACGAAACATTACAAACATGGGCGGGATTCTACTTGATCTTAATGAGGTCACCTAAAGGTATCCAGTACAGCCCGATCCGGCAGGGAGGTGTGGGACGCCAGATCAGGCGCCCCCTGTTTTTGTCTTACTTCTCTCTATCGCCTTTTCTATCCCTTTCAAGAAGTTAGGCTCCATAAATGCTAAAGAGGTAAGTATTATTTCTCAGTTGCAGTGAATAGATAGAAAATAAACTGTGGGAAACTAAACAGAAGAAAGAAGAAGAGAAATAACAAGTTAACATAAACCAGTGACACACTCCAGGGCCTGATCAACCCTGGCAGGGCCTCCTTGATGAGGGTGTCTAGTGATGATGGCCGAAATACCCGATGAATCCAATTTGTCCTAAATTTTAAAATCATAAGCTAGATCAGATCTCTAATCCTTAAACCTAACCAAGGAAGGAAAATGTCAGATTAGCCTGGGTAAAAGTCACACAACGATGCGTGCTGCTGACAAAGTTTCTGGGCTGCCTTTCCTCATAACAGCCATCCCTCAAGAGTCTCTCCATCTAAAGCAGTGCATTATCAGGGATTGTAGCATCTAGTCCTTCTTACTGAATCACCCTACAGTCCATATTCAAACCTTTTATGGTTGTAAAGCTGAAACAGTTGATTGTTATAGATACTTGAGACTCTGGCTGGATGATAAAGAGACTTTTCTACAAAAAAAAAAAGAAAAAAGATGAAGATCTGGTTTTTATATAGTTTTTTTTTTTTTAAATCTCATTCATAAGCTGCAAGATCATTGCACAACCCACAATTTTGTCTTCACTTGATTATGGTGCTATTGTTTTATGAGTGCATCTATATCCACCTTAAGGTCTCTAATGGGAGTTTTTCCTTCACACTGTTTCCAAAGTGCTTGCTCAGTGAGTCATATGTTGTCTGTATGCATTATTGTCAGGTCTAATTAACAATATAAAGCACCTTGAGGTGACTGTTGTTGTGATATGACGCTGTATAAATAAAATTGAATTGAATTAATTTGAATTAAATTCTGTGTATCACAGTGCATAATGTGAAAATTTTAAATTGTTGTATTTGTGCATCTGCAACTACTCTTGCACCTGTTTTTAGTCTTGGTATCTTTCTTGAAAAAGAGATTTCAATCTCACCGAGAGAACCTGTTTAAAAAAAGGACTTAATAGATAATATCACTCTTAACATGTGAAAAATGTTTGAATACTGTACCTTGTTAAGCCAGTGAACCTTCTCTACATCAGAGAATTGCACCTTTGGGGGAAAAGCATTAAAGTTAAAATCTTGATGCATGCTCAATCATCCAGGTAAGTCAATCTCCAAAAGTTGATTCTGTTCATCTGGACGAAGCGTTTTGTGGGAGAAACGTTTCGTCACTCATCCAAGTGAAACGTTTCTCCCACAAAACGCTTCGTCCAGATGAACAGAATCAACTTTTGGACATTAAAGTTAAAAGTTGATGTGTCACAGTGTCATGCATGACGGCGTTGGTGGAAGACGAAGAGGTGTGGTGATTAAAAACCTCCCTCAGAAGTTTAGGCTGTAACAGAAAAACAGAACATACCCAGGATGCCATCGGTAAGGCACTTCTCAGCTCGGTTTTGATCGCGCGTTTTTCATTGTCCACTAAGTCGATGGCTGATGTGATCCGGGCGACTTTCCATTGGCGATTTTTCTTCCAGTAGGTGAGCATAAACACGCACAGCAATACCCAGCTGATGTTGATGCCCAGATAGCCTAACAGATACACAGGGTAGCAGATGAACACCGCTCTCCCGCAGTACATCACGAACTCTATTATTACGTGGTTAACAGTCGAGGAGCTCAGCCTGTCCGTGCACTGCATGCTTTCGGACGGTTTTTGTGCCATCGGGTCAGACACGGTCTGAGGACCTGGTTCAGAAAACGCACTTATTGTATGATCAGAGGGCGAACAACTTTCTGTGTATTTCATTTCATTTTCATTTGAAAAGTAGACAAACCAGTCCTCCGCACTTACCTCGCGCTCATAGTAGTCCTAAACCTTCTCCGTGTTTTTTTTTTAAACAAAAATAAATATGCAGGATAAAATGACGGAAATAAATCCAGACCTGGAACTTAGATTTCCACGCTGTATGCCTATTCTGCACCGGGAGGTGCTGTGTAAGTCAGTGCCAAAACACCCCGAACCATATTGTCGATGTTGTAACTACACAGTAACGTCATCAGGGCACGAGCGCACAATCACACGCACGTTGTTGCACTTTTGATTCCTTACTGGCACCTACTGTGTCAGTAGTGCGCTTCAAGTCAGGACTTTCCACGCACACGGAGATGTGCTTATAAGGTCTCGGTTCTCTTTGGATCTTAAAATTCCTCAGTGATGAAGTTTAACAAATACAGATACAGATCCTCTCTTACTGAACCCGACTTTATTGCGCTCGTTTAAGTCCCAAACAGACCGCATTTCTCTCCATGGACAAGAAAAAAAGGAACGGAGAAATAGCAGATGACGTAATTAACAAAAAGGAAACTTATATATTTTTTGTTACCAATTCTCATCTTTCTTTTATCATTATTTCAATTCATGTTTTCATTCATATCTTTATTTAGCTTCATTTGATTTTTTTTTTGTCTTTTTCTTAGTATTATCATTACCATCAGTAGTGGTACAAATAGTACTGGCGGTGGTATTATTACTTATATTGTTATTATTACCAATATTTTTAATATTATTACTGATATTATTATTATTTAATGATGACTCATCTAACCACATAATGTAGATCCCCATATCCACGCATTGGGTTCAACCACATGAAACTCACACCCAGTTTTAATTGAATGCAAACTCTACAAATATGTACAAATGTTTGTTTGTTTGTTTGTTTGTTTGTGTTCTACTCTTTTTCAATGTATTCTTTGTCTCTTGTTTGTGTCAGTGCACATTTTCTTCATAGTTGTTTTTGGCAATGCTGATTAATTCTGGCATTTTCACTATGCATGTTTCACATTTTTATTACCCACTTGTAAACATCTACTCTTACCAGTAGCAGTTTATAAGAGAAAATATATTGAGCAGAATCAAATTGCGTGTGGTTTGTGTGGCCCCCCCACAACGGTCCCAGTTTCACTTAAGCTAGACATCAAGATTGAGCTGGAAAGGATGTGCAGCAGGTTATGGTGTAAGGGCAGAGATGGTAATGTACTAATATGCGTGCGAGTGTGTTGATAAGATGAAAGGAACTTTAAGGAACAAAAGGAGAGAGAGGGGAGGACAGTTAGTGAATCAGGAAATGCAGAGGATTGGTAAGGAGGAAGTGAGGGCAGCTGTGAAGAGGATGGAGAATGGAAAGACAGCTGGTCTGGATGCCGTTATGGGAATGACTGGGAGTGAGGGTTTTCACCCAGCCAGTTGTACAGCATCTCGTTAACATTTCATTACCTTTCTTCAGTAGTAAGGAACTGAGCTTTGTTTGATTAAATAATGTTTATTAATACACCTGTTTTCACAGACAAATAGGCACAAAGTTCTGTGCATTCAAATAAATGAAAATGAGGAAGAATTACAATAAAAATAAATCAGAAGATTAAAAAAACACTGTTAACAATAATACAAAAGCAAGTTCAAAGAGAATAAAATAAAAGTCGCAATAAATCAGTTAACATAAATAGCAATACCCCCCCCCCCAGTCGCTAACAAGGAACAGTTATTAAATTCAGAGTCTGTGATCGAAGGCTCGAAGGAGTAAAAACAAGCTTAGATAAATAGTCTAGACCTTGTTCACTTAGTGATCTCTGTGCAAGAATGTGAATTTCACACATAAAACACGTAAAACACATCAGCAGTCTGACTGCACCGTTTTGTAAATCTTGGATGTGAAAAATAGATGATTTAACTAAGTCAGTAAAAAAGGACTTTACGGTTTGCATGAATCAGCCGAGGAGACTATACACCTAAATGAAAGAAACAGAAATGTCAAATAGATTTTATATAAAAGTTAAAGCCTAAAGAAGAAACAAATACTATACCAAAATTATGAATGCTGGACGAGCAAAAGGAAGCAATCACTTGACTGGTTTTTCAGTGTAGTTCAGGAGGAGCTACAATCATGGCCTCAGTCTTGTTGAAATTCAAAACAAATCAATTGCTGGGATAGACATTGAACTAGGTGGATAGCCTCTCGAGCCGGTAAGGCTTAAAAGACAAAAACAGCTGAATGTCAGCATAAATAAATAAGAAATGGAAAGGTTGAACGATGGCAGCTAAAGGAAGGATGTAGCGATATAGTAGTAAGAGACCGGGGACTGAACCTTGTGGAACCTCACAGGTTAGAGAAGAAATGTTGTTTACCCTAAACAGAGAAAGTCCTGTCTGAAAAATCAGAGGAAAACAAGTCTAACACCAAGCCAGAGATACCAGCCGAAACCTCAAGCCTATTAAGTAACATACCATAGTCAACGGTATGAAGGGCTCTATTGAGATCAACTAAAATGAGTACAGAACAATTTCCTGAATCAAATACCATTAGAATCGTATTATAGACTCTCAATCTCAAGGAAGTGCTGCTTTGGAAAATCAAACTGGAACAGGTCAGAAATCTGTTTTTTGTATAAAAAGGATCTCAATTGACTCCCCACAACTGTTTCTAATAATCTCCTGATAGAGTAAATGGCAATTTTGAAACAGATGGATAATTCCCAACAGAACTGGCATCAAGATTACATTTTTTAAAGTAACAAAACTGGCTCGGAATGCTTAAAACGGGGAATGCCACAACCTTACTTCAAACAGTTGTTAACGGTAGTTAGAAATGAAGAACCATACTTGTAAAAGTCCCAAACAGGAAAGAGGTAAAATCTCAAATAAGTATGAAGAGGGTTTTATCGAGTCCATTACTGTAACTAAGCCATTAACAATAACTGGAAAGAATGACGTAAAGGACTCAGCTCACTAAGAGCCATCTTCACATGCTGAGGAACATAAGGAGAACTTGGATCTTATGGTAACTCGGTCACCTTATTTACAAAATGATTGAGAAATACATTACAGTCATCCTGGGATTATTCTTGTCACAATTAGATTGAGATGGCTGAAATAAAAAGATCCAGTCCCTTTCACTGCTTCATTATAATAGTGGAGAGGATCTTTCAAATAAAGAAGAGGATCAAACGTTCATCTCTGAAATAACAGTCATCAATTGAATGTCAGATCCTAATACAAACACGTTGTTAATACTTAGTTAAAATGAACATTAAAAGAGTGACTTATGGTCACCAAAAGCAACTTCATTTACTGCCAACTTAACACCATAAGCTATGTCCAAGTTGCATTTTTGCGAGGATAGTGGGACCAGATACATGTTGAACAAAGAGCACATGACACTCATTAACTTAGTGGTACTGTCTGATCAACCATCAGCATTAATGGTCAAGTCCTCAACTTACTGCAGTTTGATGGAAACTGTGAAAATATTATTTAGCATTGAAAAACAAGCTGATTTTTGCTTGTATATCTCATCAGTTATAGTTCTGACAAATTGTCTTTTCTTGCATACAAAAAGTGACACAAACTTGTTTTAATCTTACGTTTAAGTGTGTCAGTTTCAAGTAAGACCTCCAGTGTTACTAGATTGGAAGATGAATTTTGTGCCTGGGATCAGAGTGTTCCTTATTTACACGATCAAAGATAGTTTTTCTGCTACTTTCGGAAAAAAAAATCCATAAAGGAGTATGAAACTCTTCAAGCATCATGTCGGCAGTTTCCCCTGCAGTGGCTGATGAGGTGATTTTTAAGTTGCAAAGCTTTTCTCAGATCCACTTGCTAGATGGATTTCTTCAGCCCAAGCAGAGTGAGCTCATACCTTTAGAGAAACAGGTGTGAAATATTCACATGACTATATCTAAAAACAAATAATCACCCACACACGGTTTTACATTAGAGTCCATGACTTGCAATCAACAAAGAAACAAAGAAACCAGCACCAGTTTGTATTTGGTGCTGAAAGTGGTTATTTTAGTGAAAACCCAGAAACAAGTATTGCCCCTTATAAGATGCTTCATACTGACACTCATATGTATGTATAGATAGATAGAAAACAAATAGATTAAACTGCTTTTTAAAGCTTGTATCAGAAAAAATGAGTTGTTTATATTAGATAGTAATTATATTTGTTTCAATTTTAATGACACCAATACTGATTATTTCTTAATATGTTTTTAAAAATTAAGATTATTTTTATCAGAAGCATATATCACTCTAATTACTATAAAAATGTTTATTTACAAATAGGAATATTCCTCAGTGTATAGTTTTATTATTTTTAAGGTATCAATGCCGTTTACCCTGACGTAGCATAACATACCAAGCCAATGCCCTTTTTCTCTCTGGAGACCAACATCTTGTTACTTTTCACAGACACATACAACTTCCTAGTTTGTGCTTCCCTGAGTGTCACATCGAACTGAAACCTGTGACAAAAGATGATTGTCAGAAAAGTAAAAGAAAGTAACACTGTGCACAAACTTTAAAACTCCCAGCTCTTCGTTTTTTAAAAAACAAACGGGATATGTAGAATTAGTTTATTACGCTCACTTTTCTTTGAAAATGGGATTGATCGCCCTCTTCTTGACACCGGTCCTCTTGCGATGCTTCAAGCTTTGGACAGGAAGGAGATACAGGCGGACGTAAGAGTCTGTGCCGTTCTCACTGCAGGGGAATAAATTCCTGCGTGACAGAGGATTTTAAAAGAAAACTGTATATTATATGTGCAATTTACAATCTCTAACTGTTGCCTTTTTCTCATCTGATGTGTTGAGTTCAGATAATTTAAAACAAAAATAATGAATATCTTAATATTCTTAAAT